ATTACCAGTCTATACCATATGGTATTGACTGGTATTAAATAACAACATACCATACGGTATGAAAATACCAGTCAATACCATATGCTGTTATTTAATACCAGTCAATACCATATGGTATTAAATAACAGCATACCATATGGTATGAAAAATACCACCTCATACCAGGGTGGTATAGTATGGTATGGAGTTTGTAACGAGAGTTTTGAAAAACTTTCCCCCATAAAATTTTGAAATCCAATAGATCATAATTAAATCGTTCCTTTTGTGCAAAAATTTCCGAAAATGACTAAACAACGAAGGAGATACCATATGGTATGGAGTTGGTAACAAGAGAGATGGAAAAAAAAATTCTCAAAAAATATTGAAAATGGATATCATTTTGTAGAGCACAACGAACTCGTTCCATCTGTACAAAAAAAAATTGAAATCCGAGTTAGAATGACGAAGATATGACCCAATTAAGAAAACTAGGGAAAATAAATTCCTTTAATTCTCCACCCTTAGATCTGCAGTCACTTAAAAGAAGGGTCCATATTTGGTTACTCATTGTTACTCACCCTAAGGTTACTCGCCCTATCTTGAGCCTGCCTTCGGGACATCCAATAAAAATTAGAGAGATCTGATTCACAATAATTATCGAAAGCAGATCAGGTCACTAGCCTTATGGAGAGTAACAATGAATAACTCGTTCATGTCAGCATCATTTTCTCTTCTGGAAAGTCTTTTATCTTGTCCCCTTTAACCTTTAACGAACGATTTCTCTCTCGTTTTAAGTCAAAATTTAAATTTTTTTGTATAGAGAAATCAGATTAAATGTGCAATTTAAAATGATATCCACTTTGATGATATATTTTTAGTACAAAAAAATGAGTCATTTTTTACCAGTCATTACCATATGGTATGCTCCTATTTGATACCATATGGTAAGAGTATACTAACTGTCATTTACGACTTTCATCATTGTTTACTACAAGTTACCACCCACATACCATAGTAGTAAAGTATGATAATTTTGTTCCTATATTTTTTCATCCAGAAATTTGAATATCCAATAGATCATGATGAACTCGTTCTTTCGGAGCAAACGTTTTCAAAAACAACTTAAAAACGAAGAAGTTACCATATGGTATGTAGTTGGTAACGGGAGGTATGAAAAAAAGTTTCTCGAAATTTATTGAAAATTGATCTCATTTTGTAGAGCACAACGAACTCGTTCCATCTGTGCAAAAAAAATTGAAATCGGAGTTAGAACGAAGAAAATAAGAGTCGATTAAGAAAATTAGGGAAAATAAAATGTCTTTAATTCACAACCTTTAGATCAGGATTTTCTGGGCCTACTCAGATCTAAAGGTCCAGATTTAGTTATTCCCGTATCCCAAGCCATAATTATCGGGGGAAAATCCCAAAGTACACTAGTTCTTAAAAAAAAAAATCCAAAAATACATAAGTTATAAAAAAATTCTCAAAGTATACATGTTTCACATTCACCGTTTTTGACAAACACAGTGAATACAATCACCACATTAGACAAACACGGTGAACATTTCACCGTTTTAAATTAAAACAATGACGTATTCACCGTCTTTAACAAAAACGGTGAATAACGAGCTTACAATTCACCGCCTTAAACGAAAACGGTGAAGACATCATCGTTTTAATCAAACGCGGTGAAAAATTCACCGTATCGATCAACCATGATGAAAGCGACGCGGATCGCGGACGTGGACAAACGCGGTGCATTCATTGTGTTAGACAAACGCGGTGAATACGTCGCGTTTGTCCACGTCAACGATCCGCGTCGCGGAGCCGCTCACCGTTGTTGTTGGATGCGGTGAGGCGCGAATTTTGGTTTTCTTCCTAGATCCGACGCCTCACAGCGTCCCACGTCATCTCGATGCGCGCCCTTCACCATCTTCGATAAAGGCGGCTTATTCACCGCCTTTGTTAAAGGCGGTGATGGCGCAATTCGTGTAGTTGGTCAAAGAACCATGCCCAACTTAAGTTGTTCTCCCCTTCCACTAATGCAAATGCAAGCTGGAAAATCCGCCTGTTTCCATCAACGGCAATGGCAATGAGAAGAGTTTCTTTGTACTTCCCAGTAAGGAAAGTTCCATCAACCTAATTAAAAATTAGGATCTAATTAGTATGAAATTTACTTAGCAGGAAAGAATACAACATTTAAAACAGTAAACAGTTATTAAAATACCTGAATAACTGGTATGCAGAATGCAAACCCGTCAATGCATGGTTTGAAAGCCCAAAAAAGACGGTGAAACATCAACTTCTCCTGTACTTAAACTTGATCCTCATGGTATACATTGTTGTATACTGGCACAAAAACAGTCACGGAGTTGGACTCCTCCATTGAGGCCATAAGTCTAGGGAGTAAAGCATACGAATTCTCCCAATCACTATACACCTCAGCCATGGCTTTCTGCTTTCCATGCCATGCTTTTTTGTACCTTATCGTGTAAGAATGTCGATCCTTCACCTCGGCCATGATAGCTTTGACCTTGATATCTGGTTGTGCTTCGATAAGGTGCTTAATAGTTCTCCCAACTTTCTTTTCTTTAAGTTGTCTGTGATCCGGGGAAAGTATGGACGAGGAGCCAGTGTGGTTGGTCTCAGCTTTTCGAATCACCAGATACCCTTTCTCTTCATATTTGCAGCCCGCAATTTCTACATACAGGCCTCTGCATCATTCTTGCATATGACATGTAGTTGTTTAATGTCAGAATATTTTACCTTCCACTCGTCTACTCACTCATGTGAGGTACGCCCCTGATCGAATGGTATTCTCGATTTCAACCCACTTTGGCCCCCAAGCAGGCCATTGAACGTCATTGGCCTCAACAAATGGGACAGGTTGATCCCGTTGCGAGTATTCTTCCGATGGCACCCATCCTGCACTACTACCTCCACCGTAGTTGCTTGAAGTACCACCCTCTCTGTAACCTCCTGTATAACCACCTCCTTCGTAGTTGCTCGAACTACCACCCCCATCTGTACCCTCCTGCAAAACCATCATCATAAGAATACTGGTGAAAATGAGTTTCACCGACCGCCTCGGTATCAACATACGCCTCTACAAGCTGCATCCCGTTATCGCTTAGGAACTGTAACATCATCGTAACCGTGTCATCATCGTTTATGACAACTTCTTGGTACATAACCCCGCCAGCACTCACGTCTGGATACCGGTAACTAATTTTACCAAGTCTCGTTTGTCCACTCGTACAAACCCTGTCTGCACAAATATCACAGAGTTCTTGAAAATTGAATCGCGACTCAATTTCCAGCATAGTGGATTCACCGTCCTCATAATCAATCCCTATGTCAGAGTTTGTCACCCTTCAATTCCTCCGAATAATAAGCTGAAACTTCTTTAATTTACCCATATCTACAGTTTACAATAAGTAACTATTAGCTTAATTCCAGTAAAATTAACCAAAACCATATTGTACGACTAATATTACTCCATCTCATAACTAACATAACATAAATTCAACTAACTAACAACAGCATAAATTCCCCAACTAACATAACATATTTGCTACGATAAGTAATTCATAACATAACAATATAACTACTAAAAACATCATTAGGCTACAATATGAAAATTAAATCATACTGAAAATTCATGTTCTGTGTATGTTGCTCGGTTTTGGTTGCTGAAATTTGAAGAGGGAGAGGGGTTACGTTTTTACAACTGTTGGTGGGAGTTAGGAAGTGGTATTTTGGGGCTGCAAATGAGCCGAGCTGAGCCGAGTTTTACCCCAGTTTGAGCTTGGCTCGTTAACAAATGAGCTGAGCTCGAGCCCGAGCCATTTATTAACGAGCCGAGTCGAGTCGAGTTCGAGCTAGACTTGTTTACTAAATTCTTAGATCGTATTTAATACATTCATTTTTTATGTCCTGTATGGTACATGTGATTGATGTAGCGATAAGAAAATAATCAAATGTTCAACATTAATTAATCTTATATTATAATTTTTTGGTGTCATATTGTTTAGTTAATAAATTTTAACTAGTTCAAATCATGTTATTTCATAGTATCGAAACAATTTTGTACATAATTTCTTTATAAAATTAAAAATAAGGCATATTTTCTTACATGTTCAACATGTTAAACTTCACATGATGTGAGATATATAATTTAACAATCCTATGAATTATGAAAGTTCAAATTAGATCGATTAGTCCATAAGTCAGTGATCAAGTTGGCCCTCAAACCACAATGTTGAGACATCTCATGAGCTCTAAATGAGCCAACTCACGAGTTAAGCTCAACAAGCCACCGAGTTGAGCTAGCTCGCGAGCTTCACGAGCTGAACATAGCTAGGCTCAAGCTTGACTCGTCAATAAACGAATCGAGTTTCGAACGAGGTTTTCCCGAATCGAGCCTCGATTTGCTCGCGAGTAGCTTGGCTCATTTCCAGCCCTAGGTATTTATAGGAAAATCGGCCAGCATTCACCGCCTTTGTCTCAAACGGTGAATGATATCATTGTGTTTGTCTCAAACGGTGAACATTAGGTGGTTGTGACCTAATTTTCACCTACCAGGTGTGGGAAACGTGAGAAACAATCACTGTCGTAACCTAGGGCGGTGAAGATGTTCCCCGCCTTGTCCTAAAACGGTGACATATTCACCGTTTTTAAATAACATGGTGATATCTTCATCGTTTTGGTTCAACGCGGTGAATTGTTTACCGTTTTTGTTAAAGACGATGAATACGTCATCGTTTTAATTTAAAACGGTGAAATGTTCACCGTGTTTCTCTAATGCGGTAATTGTATTCATTGTGTTTGTCAAAAACGGTAAATGTGAAACATGTGTACTATGGAAATTATTTTTATAACTTATGTATTTTGGAAAAAAAATTAAGAACTAGTTTACTTTGGCATTTTTTCCTAATTATCGGCTCTTTTACGGTTTTATACTGTCTGCCGACGTTATATACACGTTATATACACAACGGTCGCCCGTCGGCCAACGCTCCCTGACCTCCTTCAACGTTCCCGTTCCCGTTTCTTTCCAAGACCAGTTCCCACTTCCCAAGGCTCCAACTATCCTCTGCCATTTGAATCGCAATAATGGAGAGTCAGCCCTTAGTCTCACTCTCGCTCCAGTTTCAAGCAAAATGGCGCATTCTCATTCGTCTTTCTCGCTTTCATTCATCATTATTAGAACCAGACCGCCGACCCTTTCGCTGTTCATGCAGCGAGACGGGTAAGCCGTTCTTTCCAAAGTCAATATGACATCTTTCGCTGACTCGCACGGAACCCGTTTCTTCAAAATCATTCTCCAGGGAACCCTTCGTGACAAGAAGCTCGTAAGCACAATCTCTTCCTCCATTTTTACCCCACTGCATTTAGAGCTGGAGCTCGAATTGGTGGTTCTTAATCTTCGTATCGCTGCTTTAATATTTTGGCAGTTGATTCCTGGGAGGTTCGTTGAGAATTGCGGGGAGGGCTTGCTGGATTCTGCAATTCTGAAGGTCCCTAGTGGTCTGAGTTGGACTGTGGATGTAGTGAGTGATGGAATTGGTGTCTGGTTTGGGAATGGATGGCAAGATTTTGCTGAGTTTCACTTGTTGGAATATGGGCATTTTCTGGTTTTCGAGTACAAGGGTTGCTCCAGTTTCTATGTCGTTATATGTGATAGGACCGCTACAGAGATTGTATACCCGATTACTAGAACTGCTAGCAACCCGCAGCCTGCTGATAAGGTTCTGAAACTGTTTCCTGAGCCTGTGGTCGAAGTGATTGAGAATTTCTGTGGTGGAGTTGATGTGCCCCAAAGAAACAAGTGTAAATCCCCTATGGAGGTTTCTCAACCTCGTGGTAAGAAGAAGAAGAAGATGAAGAGGGGTAGTGCAACCAGAAATGGCAATGTGAAGATGGTGAGTTGCATTGAGCAAAGTGCAGCTGGGCATCATTCGTCTGCACAAGGGCTTGGGGGTTAGTGATTCCCTAACTTTCTTTTACCTTTTCTGACGTTTAACATGTTCTTTGTGCTATTTGTGTTGTGAGTTCTTTCCTGTCTGTGTGTTATCAAACAATGTAGGCAATTCGATGGAGTTGGGACGCGAAGAGAAAGAGAGTGGTGATGAGATAGCCCCTGAAGAATCTCCACTTGTGGAGGAACGTATGCCTCTCACCGCATTCACCTCACCGCATCCATGTTTCGAAGCTCGAATGACTTCACATGGGAACTGGTACGTGTGTCTGACGAGAATGCCTGCCTTCAGGTTGTGTTTGTTTTTAAACTCTCGAATGCAATATTAACATGGACCAAAACTGGTGGTCTTTTGACTTAGCAGTATGTACCTCGAAGTTTTTCTGTTAGGCATATTGGGGAAGATGAGAAGTCAGTGAAGCTTCAGATTGCGGATAAAACTTGGCGCGTAGGACTAAATTCGTATCCAAGTGAAAAGGCTGTACACTTATGCAAGGGCTGGCGTGTATTTACAGAGGAAAACTCGCTGAAACCAGGAGACATTTGCATCTTTGAGTGCATTCAAAGGTGGACTAACGTCCTGCTGAAAGTCACCATCATTAGAGAATCTTAATTTGGTTTAGGTGCCATGTTGTTTACTTGGAATACTAGAAGTTTTCGCTGGGGACAATGTTCACAACTTCCTGCTTTGTGTATTGAGGATGATGCTATTGCCAAGTTTGAATCTAGCTTTTCTTGTTTTAGGCTTTTAGCAGTAGCTCAGACCCCTTAGAGTCTTTTTTACCTTCCTGTTTCTATCATCCATTTAATGGAGTATTGGAGTATTAGAATTATGAGATGAGAAGCTCATTGAGTAACATCTGATTCTGCAAGATATTCAATGATCAGATGAATATCGTAGGATGGAGGCGAATCACGACTACAGTGTTGTCAGCTTCCTGTTATAGGAGATGCTTGACAAACCTTCCACACCACCTTGAAGGCATATTCTGTTTTCGTCAAGGTAAGAAAATTTGTGCCTTTTTGAACTAATATTGTTGCTGGAAGTTCTGCTGGGAAAGCTAGGAGCTCGGTAGGGGTAAAGAAAAAGTTACATTTTCCTCTCTGTATTCCCCTCTTGAAAATTTCTCTTTCTCCTTCATCTTCTTCAAACCCTACAGAGAACAAGTGTTTCCCCTCCAGAATTTGAGATCTCTCCCTGGAAACCAACCTCAACCATGGCCCATTTCTTGAAGCATTTCATTGAGCAGACAATCACACTCAAGAAACTGGTAAACCCATTTGTGCTAAATGCTAATAGCCATTACTCAGAACAAAGAACTTTTGGTATGTGTGTGGTTTTCCTATAGGGATGAGAAGAATATTTGCTTGGCAACAATGCTTTTCTTCCATTTGACTTCGAGCTTTCTTGATGACTTCTTCATTCTCTCTTGACAACAATGCTAATTGATCAGTTCCCAAAACATGCACTAAAGTATTTGTACAGGAAGCAAGGTACCTGGTAAATGCAAATCTGTGCCAGCCACCTGTGATTACCAATAAGCTACTCTTGTGTGAAGATTAGAAAGAAAAAAGATGATATGGGTCTAAACCTCCTGTTCTTGAAAATACAAGTCGTTGACAGTTTGACAATTGACACTCATATCATATCCAACCACAGGACTCTAATAACCAAATCTAAAAAGCCTTTATTCAGGACTAATCTTTTTGATTTATGGGAATTCGTTTGATCATTTCATTTTCCTTCTCTGTCTTCTTACAAGTTACAAATGTGACTGATAATAAGGGACTATTGTCCACTCCACATTTTCCCCCAAATCATAAATATCACGAACCTAACCCCAACAGACCTCCTTTAATGGTTTCCACTTCCACAGTTGCTTTGAGACAGATTTACCTATATCAGCAGGGCTACCCAATGCCATCTTCTTCTATCTCTCTGGTACTCAAAACACAAAATAGTGGCCATGGCTGAGAAGTAGCTCGACCTTGAAACAACGGCCGCCCCTTTTGCTTAGCCAAAACCCATTTCTTATCCTCGTACAGCTCTACTGTTGGAGATTCCACCAGAGGTATACCTCTACTGTTGCAGATGGAGATCCCACCCAAGTTAGAGTTGTACCAGGATGGAAATTGGTTTTTGGTTGAGATGTTAGATGGCATTGTGCTGGTTTGGACATGATATACAGCTGCTTGATATGGCAAAAGGAAGGAGCTTGACATTGATGTAGTTATTACAAGCTCAAAGTTCTGCACTTTTTCATGACAGCTAGCTAAATACACTTCTAACACAGAAAGATGGAACTTGAAGAACACTTTGCACCAGCTGCATCAATAAGGTTCATTCAGAAACTAATAGATGCTGGCTTCTGAGTTGCAGAAACACGCTAGAGTTCATCCTTGCGATCCTCTCCTTGTTCCTCTTCCTTCTCCTCCACCTCCTCATCGTGACTAGTACCATCAGAGGCTTCGTTCTTGGCTCGGTGGATCTGCTCAATGACTTGCTCTAATGGCGGATCTCCTTTCCTCCTGAACAAGTTATCTCCGATCTTGATCTCGTATGCCTCCGGCTGATTCAATACAAACTCCTTCAGCTGCAGCAAGTTCCCACGGAAAACAAATAGAAAGAGAATGAATCCCAAAATCTGATTAAGAAACAGAGAAGGGGAAGGCAAAAAGAAGGAAAGGAAAGCTCACTTCAAGCGAGCGGCGGCCTTCGGCCATATTGAACATTATGGTGCTCCGATCAATCCCCATGAGATTCAATTCCATCGCTCCAGCTCTCAGCATTTTGGTCCATTTCCGAGCGAGATCCGCCACCGTATCCTGAACAAAATAACCCCCAACACCACCGGAGTTAACAAGTCCGGCGAATCGGAACCTAAAAGAGATGAGAAGTTTGGCTTACCGGAGTACGTTTGACGCCGGGCCGGAGCTTGACGAACCCGAAAACGGGGCCCATTGTCCGCTTCATGAACGCTTCCTGGATCTGCTCCAGCTCCATGCCGGACATGTCGGAGGGCGGCGGGTCGAACACGTCGGAGGTCTTCTTCTTCCCCCATTCCTTCCACGCTTCGTCCTCCTCGTCGTCCACCACGTCCCGGAGATCGTCAGTGATGTGGAATTTCTTGCCGGTGGCGAATATCGACGGCAGCAGGAGGAGTAGCAGTAGGAGTAGGAAGGAAGCTGGATTGGGTTCGGTGGCCATTGCTGAAAGAAGAAAAAAAAGTGTGTTGAGATTTGGGAACGAAATGCCAAATCATAAAAGCCAACTACTACTACTATTCTGTCGCAAATCGCAACCTTCTAACTAATTTTTCACTGTCCTGTTTACTTTAGAATCGCACCTCTCCCTTTTTGCGGAGATCTTTCTCAGATCTGCTGCTTCGTCTCTGTCTCTCCCTGCCGCTACTCGCCGTTAATTTGAATTTCCGATGCGATCTCTTTATGCAATCTCTCTCTCTCTCTGGCCTCTGCTGATCGTCTCCTCCCCATTTCAACAAAACCCCATGTCAACCAAAAACAAACCCGTTTTTGTCGAGTTGAATCTCTTTGTGATTAGGGTTTATGCAGTGGGTCGATCTTGGTCTGCCAGCTGTTCCCCTGGTTTTACAATACAATGAATACATACAGCTGTTCCCCTGGTTTCACAGTGATGTGGGTTCTATACAAGCTCAAAGTTCTGAACTTTTCATCACAGACGAGGACAGCATGCTAATTGCTAGCTCGGTCTACATATGACTTGAACTGTTTGGCAAGGATGGAAACAGGATAGCACTGAACCTTTCTTTCCATGCTGTATGACAACAGGGTTGTTTCTAGGAGCTGAGACGGTGAGACTTGGCGATAGTAAACTGTTAGCAATTTCTTTCAACGACATGCTGTAAAACAAAGGATATGGAAGGAAGTGTCTATCAACGACAGAAAATCATCAGTATTAGTGCGCTCTTTTGTTTAGTAAAGTTTTTAATTCATATTAGACATATTGTGACGCGCAACAATGTCTATGAAGACGTAGTTGAGCAAATGGCCAAATTTATGTCGCATACCTTGAAAGATTGTGTGTCAAAAGGAAAGGAGCGATCCTTATAATATTACATATCTGCTAAGATGAAGCCTGTGACTATGATTAGTAACTTTACATCCTCTAATATTGGCTATCGCAGAAGAGGAATCCAAGTTCATTTCCACCCTACTAACCTCTTGTTGTCGTGCCCTTTCCAAACCTTCTGTTGCTTTCTTAAGTTCTGCTCTTGTTATCAAGCATTTCCCTAGGTTACGGATGAAAGCTATCATGCATCTGCCCAAGCGGTCTCTGAAGAATCTTTCTGCAGTTACGTTGCCTATAGAAGTGATGTTAGAACCATTATTTTGGATACAATCCTCCAGGGGTTGTCAGGCAACTGCTATGGTTGCCAATGTTCTTTTCGTAGGCAGGATACTTCTACTTGCATTCAAATGTGCTTGTTTGTTTATTTGGATCCTGACTAGAGCTCAATGAATCTTCCTTGCCTCAAGTGACTTTTTTCCTTCTATTGCCTTCTAGTTTCTTTATTTCCAGAGAATCCAACATATCAGGCCAAATCCACTCCACTTTCATCCACCTTTAAGATTTTCACAGATCCATGTTTGGGAGTCAACCGTGGTCGATTCGACTTTTAGCTTTCTTGCATTTCCACAAGATGTGCTCAGTTGTTTCGTCTATTCCATCACAAGAATTACAGTTGCCATTGTCCGTCAGTTTGCAGTTTCCTCTATGTTTATTGGTGAGAATTCTATCTTAACTTGCAAGCAAAAGGAAATCACTCGACTTGGTCCCTTCAAGTGCCAGAGATCTTTCCACATTTTCACAGATCCATGTTTGGGAGTCAACCATGGTCGATTCGACTTTTAGCTTTCTTGCATTTCCACAAGATGTGCTCAGTTGTTTCGTCTATTCCATCACAAGAATTACAGTTGCCATTGTCCGTCAGTTTGCAGTTTCCTCTATGTTTATTGGTGAGAATTCTATCTTAACTTGCAAGCAAAAGGAAATCACTCGACTTGGTCCCTTCAAGTGCCAGAGATCTTTCCACATTTTCAAAGACTCATCATCCAGCGTATCTATCACTAGATTGTGGGTTGATCTAAGAATGAACCGACCATCTTTCTCAAAGCCCCCCCCCCCCCCCCCCCCCCCCCCCCCACACACACACACAATGTTTTGTCCTCTCCCAAACCTGGCATCAGCGAGTCCTTCCCTATACTTTAAAGTTGGATTTTATTAGGGAGAAATTTTCTAATACGTTCCCAATCCCACTCACCTGTAACATTAATCCACTCCTTAACCTCTTGATGGTTTGAAGCTTTCGATTTCCCTCTATGCTACAACACTTGCATCTCTGTGGTGGTGGTACACTTCATTTAAATATTAATGCTGATCTCTGGGATTCCATCCATCCTCAATGTCTCTTCCAAGAAGTTTGTTAGAAACAAATAATTTGCAGCTTATGGTTAATTCGCTTTATTTGTCGGTTTTGTTAATTGGGGGATTATTTGGGGAATTTGGGCATTAAACCGGGAGTCGATTACTATGTTTTATTTGCCGGGTAGTAGATAGGAATTATGCGGATTATATAATCTGCAGTAGGAGTTATTTTCTAATTAAGCAATCAATTACAGAAAACCTAAACTACTCTCTCTCTCTCTCTCTCTTTCCCTCTCCCTGCGCCGAACCCTCCTATTCCCTCTTCTTCCTTCGCTGCTCGGCAGCAGCCTTTCCCCTCTCTTTCCCTAAATTCTCCTATTCCTAATCCCTAACTTGATCAATCCCTAGTTGATCTAGCTAATTTCCCTAATTCTACAACTGTTAGAAACTTTGTTTCTAACATCTGGTATCAGAGCCTGGTTCGAGAGTGAGTTCTTTTGAGCTCTTGAACCAGGGAAAGCAGCAATGGTATCGACGAAGTCAATGAAGGCAGCGGCAGAGAAAGCGGCTCAGGCAACCGAGAAGGGCACGGATGCGGGTGACGTTGGGCTCGACGGGGAGTTGGAGGATCTCACGGAGATCGAAGGGCTGAGGAAGGTCGTGGAGACGCAGGCGGAGAGGCAGTCAAGGATCAAGGAAGAGCTGAACGGTTTGCAGGTGCAAGCCAGAGATCACGGCCGCACTCTCGACGCGTTGCTGGCGGCGGTGGAGGCGCTGCAAGGACAGGTGAGCAGTCTGACGGAGGCTTGGAAGAGAGGCGGGGCAGCGGATGGAGATGGCGAGAAGCCACCGGAGGAGAAGGGCGCGGCGGAGGAGTCCGCCTCGGTGGCGGCGGTCGGCGGCCAGGGAGCCGAGAAGGGCTCGGCGGATGGGGGGGCAGCAGCAAGCAACCCTAGCCGACCCCCTGTTTCGCGTTCGGGCCAAGTTTCGTTCGGCCCAACAATCAAGGATGGGCTTTTGCCTACTCCATCGGCCCAGGAGCTGGCTCGTGCGCGTGGCAAGGCCAAGATGGCCGAGTACGTGGATCCGGGCTCGCACACGGGCCTGAACTTGGAGGAGCTGGTGGACCCGGAGCAGGAGAGAGATCGCGGGCCTTGGCCCAACGAGCAGAGGGGGCTGGGTGCGGACGGCTGGCGAGAGGAGGGCGGCCCGATAGGCCGAGCCCAGTGGGAAGGTGGACCAGGAGGGGGCTGGAGGGAGTCGGGCCGCAGGAGGGAACCGGGCCGGTCGGGAGCAACAGGCCGAGATCAACCGGGCCGGGGTGACTTGGGCCGAGCAGGGATGGGCCGGGTCTCCAGCGTTCGGGCCGAGTTTGGGCGGACCGAGACTGGTCGGACCGAAGCTGGTCGGGCCAAACCCGGTCGAACCGAAACCGGGCGAAACCGAAACCGGTCGGACCCCGGTCGAACCGGTCCAGCCGGCTGGGTATCAGAATCAGGCGGGCAGCAGGTGCTACCCGGGCCCGCAAGGCCAGTTCGACGAGTATTGTGGCCCCTTTCCTTCTTCTGCATTCCAGCGGGGCGCCGGGAAGGAATCCAGGAGGATGTGGGCGGGGGATCGAAGGCTGAAGGGCGAGTTAAGCGGAAGGGCCGGGGACCAGGAGGATGAGGTAGACGACAGGGGGTGTGACGGGGACCCGCGCTTCACTCAGCACTACTACAGCGGGGGCCCGAGTTCAGGAAGGAATGCCGGTCATTTCCGGGGAAGGGAGGAAGAGGATGAGATGGTGTTTCGAGCGCGGCCTCCCACTATTGAGTTCCCGAAGTACAATGGACGTGAGGATGCAGGATTGTGGCTGTACTCGGCTGAGCGGTGGTTCAAGAACCATCCCACTCGGGAAAAACGAAAGGCGCAGTTAGCTTCATTCTACCTGGAGGGAGATGCCCTGCAGTGGTGGGAGTGGATGGAGCGGACCTATGCCGAGGCTCGTACGCTAATCACTTGGCCGATGTTCAAGGAGGAGTTGCGGTACCAGTTCGGGAAATCCGAAGGTTGGGCTCCGGAGCAGCTAGCCAAGCTGCGCCAGACAGGGACGGTGGCGGACTATAGGGCCGAGTTCTTCAAGCTGGGAAACCAATGCAAGGGTGTCCCAGAAGAGACATTGGTGGGCTTGTGCATGGCGGGTCTCCGGCCGGAGATTGCAGCGGCTGTCCGGGTATTTGAACCTGATTCACTGCGACCTGTTTTCCGTCTTGCAGGTAACAAGGAGGAGGAACTGGCTAGCTGGCGGGACGTGATAGGCCGGTATCAGAAGCCGAGCGGCGGAGGAAGTGGTAGCGGATCGAGTAGCGGCCCAGGGGTTCCGGCGCTGGGCCCTAGCACGGGAGGGGGAGTGACGACTGGTCCAACCACAGCAACCATCCGAGCAGGACCAAGGCCGCCGCCCAAGGGGTTTACTAGGTTGTCGCCTGCCGAGATTGAGCAGAAGAGGCGGGAGGGCAAATGTTTTAATTGTGACGAGAGGTTCACCTTTGGTCACAAATGCAGCAAGCCTGATCTGATGTTCTTGGTGGGGCGCTGGGAAGATGAGGCCGAGGACGAAGTCGTAGAGGATTCTGGCGCAGGGCAGGAGAAGCCTCAACCTTGAGGACAAGGTTGCTTTCCAAGGAGGCAGGGATGTTAGAAACAAATAATTTGCAGCTTATGGTTAATTCGCTTTATTTGTCGGTTTTGTTAATTGGGGGATTATTTGGGGAATTTGGGCATTAAACCGGGAGTCGATTACTATGTTTTATTTGCCGGGTAGTAGATAGGAATTATGCGGATTATATAATCTACAGTAGGAGTTATTTTCTAATTAAGCAATCAATTACAGAAAACCTAAACTACTCTCTCTCTCTCTCTTTCCCTCTCCCTGCGCCGAACCCTCCTATTCCCCTTCGCTGCTCGGCAGCAGCCTTTCCCCTCTCTTTCCCTAAATTCTCCTATTCCTAATCCCTAGCTTGATCAATCCCTATTTGATCTAGCTAATTTCCCTAATTCTACAACTGTTAGAAACTTTGTTTCTAACAAAGTTCCAGCCATTTTGATCATAGGCTTTTGCTAGATCAATCTTAATAAGCATTACTCTTGTTTTTCCATTCTTACTCATTATTGAATGCACAGAATCCTGCAAAATGAGAATATATTATCAGTTATATGTCTATATGGGACAAAGCTAGAATGGGTTTTATGAACCAGATGGAGCGTAATAAGTTTTAGCTTGTTAACTAGACACTTATCCACCATTCTATGGGCAATATTACAAAAGCTAATAGGGCAAAATTGGCTCATAGAGACCGGGACATCCAATTAGGGATGAGGGCCAATAATGTTTCATTTTCTTGGCTGATTAAGTTTGGGTCACTATAGCATTTTGAGACGAAGCTGAAGTATTTGTTTACAACTTAGTCCCGACACTTAAACGATTGTTTGAAAGCCATCTTTTCAGGGGTTTTGAGGCCATTCATCTCCAATTCTCCATTACCATTCTTCGGACCTCCTCCATATAAGCAAGTAGGTGATCCACAACCATAGGAAACTCCACATGTAATACGCCCCTGGGGGTGTATGTTATCAAAGTAACGCAACAAACAACTCAATCGAAGAATCGATTGAGCTCGAATCAAGAACGAAGCGCTCTTAATACGAACTTGGGATAAAACGGAACCAACGGACAATTCCACACCTGGGGAAAGCTCGTATGGTATAAAAGGGTAGCTGCTCGACCACGATTGAAGTGACTATTCAATCGATACACAAGCTCAGCAAGGTTGGAATCCACCAAACCCAAAACAAGTCGCAACTTGCACAAACCAAACGGTTTCGATTTCTATTCAACAAAGTCTTAATTTTACAACGAAATAGAACGCTATTTAAAGGCAAATAAAACCTAATACAATCATAGTATAACTAGGAAACAATTAAGGTAAAATTCTACACTAAAAAGGACACAAAATTCGAGTTTAAACTTCCTTTCTTGAAGCACAAGTAAGCTGCCAGCAAACAGTCAAAAAGCAGCTTTCGTACTAACTTCACACCTTTTGTACAAGGCCTTCTAGAACTCCGATCTTTCATCCGATTCCTTCCCTTGGTAGATAAACATTCCTAGTTTCATGTTGTAGAAGCCTTTGGTCTCGAATCAGATCCATGCTCCTTGAATTGAGCTCCAAAGTAGGCTTCACAAAACAGTTTCCAGACTTAACCATTTTCTGGCAGTTTTCCAGTTTTGAGGTAGCAACTTTGAGGCCTTGAAAAACAACCTTAATGACATCATCTGGATTTACAAAGCATACCATTGGAAAGGTGGCAACTTTATCTGCAAAACAAACTCTAAAAATGGAATTTACACCAAGCCAATTGAGAGAACCATGCCTCCAAAGTATGTACCCTGAACACGGATTTTGACTTAGCCAAATTCTGCCTTTCTTCTTCCCAACTTTGATAGCTTCTTTGTCAAGTAATTGTGACGTGAATTCTGGGCAATTTGGGATCATATCAACATGGATGTTCTAACGAGGGCCACCTTCATCCTTGACATATAAAATACATCACCATTATTTGCAAGGTTTTTGGATCCATGATCCATTGTGCATTAATCATCCCTCAACCCCCTAATCATGTTTCTTTTGTGCATACTGAAGGTATTGGTGTGAAAGAAATAACTATTCTTGTCCCCTTCAAGAATCTAGTTTCCCCTAGACTTCTGCATCCATAGAATTTCGTCTTGCCACAAGGTATTCTCCATCTCTTCCCCGACTTCCTTTTTCTCAAGCCCGGGTTCAGTTGCTAAGAGATCTCTTATTCTTGAATTCCAAAGTCTTGTAGCTGGTTCCATAGTTTCTCTTCTTACTGAAAATGTTGTCGAAGATGTCTACGTTTTTCTCTTGGAGTTTGATAGAGAGGTTTCGTGGATGGAGGAAAATCCTCCCCATTAGTCCAAGACGATTCCACGAAGGGGAAAAAAATTTTCGTTGGCAATCTTGTTAGAAGATTAGGTGCTGGATTGTAATTAACCTTGGTAGTTTTCGGTTAATTACCTTCCGCAGCCTCTAGCTTAGGGTTTATGGGCGGCTAATATATATATATATATGTCATTATGTCGTCTGTAATTCTTAAGCCTTTGAAAGCTACGTAATACAATTGACTCCGAGAGGTTTCTCCCTCTCCGTGGATTAGTCTCAACAATACATTGAGGATACCACGTTAAATTCTGTGTTTCGATTATGCTATATTTCGTATTTTGACATGGTATCAGAGCCTCTCCCGTGTTGATCTTGGGGCTTGTTTCTGCGTGATTGCCTGGGTGTTTGAGTGGCGACAGTGAGCTGGGTATTCGCCGTTTGTGAGTGAGTTGTTTTTTGGTTCTTCTCCTGTACGTTGTTGTTCTGGTTTGTGCGTGCCTTTGTTGTTCGTTCTTGGCTTTTGGCGGCACTTTTCTTGTTCTGGTTTCTTTGGCTGTTGTGATGGATTCATCAAAGGTTGATTCGGTTACTATTAAGTTCAATGGTCGGAACTTTTCGCTCTGGGAATTTCAGTTCCAAGTTTTTGTCCAAGGCCGCCGTCTTCTCCCGATTCTGGACGGGTCCTTACCGGCGCCTGCTGCTGGTGCTGCAGCTAAGGAAATTGAGGACTGGGCGATCCATAATGCCCAGGTCATTCACTGGATTGTTGGCTCCTGTGAGCCTGCTATTGCATTAAGTTTGAGGGGATTTTCCACTGCTCATGAGATGTGGAGGCATCTTCATGCGCTGCACTCCCAATCGAGCGCGTCACGGAAGTTTGAATTGGAGGTAGACATTGCTCGTCGTAACCAAGGGGATATGGATGTTCGTACTTATTATCAAACTCTGGTCAGCCTTTGGACCGAGCTTGATCTGTTGACTGCTTCCTCAATTTCGGCTGCTGCTACCTCGGAGGTTCTTAAGGAAAGTGCTAGTTCCCGTCTTATGTATTTTCTTATGAATTTGAGGTCTGAGTTTGAAGGTGTTCGGTCATCCTTGCTTCATCGTAATGTTTCCACGATTGAGGATGTACTAGGAGAGCTTATTCGTGAAGAGACGAGATTGCATAGTCAGGCCAAGATCGATCTTCACTCTTCCGATGCGCCTGGTTCGTCTGCTTTTGCTGTCGCGTCTGCCGGGTCAGGAGCTGTGTTGCCTTCGACTCCCTCGGAGCCTGCTGCGGTGTTTGCGGCTACTGATAAGCCGCGGTTCCTTCGCACTCCGTCCGGGGAGGTCATCTGCCATTATTGTCGAGAGCCGGGCCATGTGCAGCGGCGGTGTCCCAAACGTATCGCTTGTGATTACTGCAAAAAGGAGGGGCATGTCATTAGTGATTGCCCGATTCTTGCTCGCCGGGGTGGTCCGCGTTCCAGTGGAGCTTCTTCAACCTCTTCTCGGCATGCTCCCTCTGCCTATGCTACTATGGCTGCTGCGCCTTCTCTCCCGGCTGATTCTTCTACTTCGCGCGAATCTCTTCGCCAGTTAATGCAGGAGGCCTTAAAGGAGACTCTTCCCTCAGTTTTGGGTTCAGTTTTTACCACTAGTAAGCCTCTCTCCTCTCTTTCCTCAGATTGGCATTTGGATTCAGCCGCTTTTAATCATATGACCAGCTGTCAATCTTCCTTT